GGAGCGCATGTGCTGGATGTACACCTGCGGGGGGTGGGGGGGGTCAGGCTCCGGCCTGCTCACTGACCTTAAGGGAATGCTACACTCACTGCTGCCCCCACACCAGCCCCCAATCCAGCTAGGGAGCTGTACGAACTAGCCTCTACCACCTCCCTCTGCGGCACCCAACACCGAGCAGGGGAGCAAAAGGCCAAAGCCAGGCCCCTCTACAAGGGCAGCAGAGCAGAGACACCCAGGGCTAAAGGGTCAGTGACCAACACGCTCCAACACCCCCCCCAGCACATCCCCCTCCCCAGGGGACACGGGCCCCCCTGTGCAGGAGGGGGTGCCTCTGGCTCCACCACCCCTTAGCAGGGGCCCCAGGGGTGCATGGTGGCAGCACGGATGGGGACAGGCTCTTACCTGGCAGGCTTTCAGGCTGAGCTTGATCTCCACCTGGCTGGTCTGGGTCCCCACCCACATGTAAACCTGCAGGGAAGAGCGGGGGGGTCAGGGGCCGGTGTGGGTTACGGGTAGGAGGGTGGCAGGGTGCTACGGCTGGCCAGACCTGCAGGTTCCAGGGTCAGGAGCCAGCCCTGGGACTCACCTCACGGCCATTGTCCAGCAGCATGATGTCATCGTCGGCCAAGTCGTCCTGGCAGAAGTCCGAGCACTTCTCGGACACGGAGAAGTAGCCCTTCTCGTTGGAGCACCTGTGGCACCAAAACATCAGGCACAGGCACCAGGACTAGCTGCCCCCCCCGCCTCAGCCACCTGCCTCAGGACCGCAAGGGTCCAGGCTGCATCCAGCCCCAATGAGCGCCCCCCTCCCCTGCGGGGAGCCTGGCAAGGCCTGGCACAGGGGGTCTCCAGTCTGGGGCCATGGAGGCTGCAGGGCTGAGATGGGCAGGAGCTGGCTTGCGAGACCCAGGAGGTTGCCCCAGCTTAGCTGGAGGGGATGTCCAGCAGCCCACCCCAGAGGGCTGTGCCTGGTGCCGCTGAAGGCCATGTCCCCCTGCCCGGGCACACCTGAAGAGGCGCGAGTGCTTCATGTAGTCGGCGTCCTCGTCGTAGGGCTTCTGGGCCCCAATGCCCACCCAGAAGAAGTTCTCAGGCTCTTCGCCCTCGTTGATCACCTGTGGGACACGGAGAGGGGTCAGGAGCCACCCGCAGCTCCGCAGACTTCACGGTCCTGCCGCGGCCTGTTCTGCCCCCGTGGCAGCGAGGAGGTGCAGGGGCACTTTCGTCCCCGCTGGGGATGATGGGGCTGGACACAGGCGGGAAGCCACCCTGATGCTCTGCTGGGGCCCTGGCAGCCTTGCTGCATCTGTACGCTGCCCACCTGAAGGCAGGACCCCCCCCCCCCGCC